TTGAATATAATCAGTCAAAACAAGTCGGAGATATGGGTCGAGAAGCCCATTCATTAAAACAAAATGGCCGCCAGACAGCCATTTTGAATCCAATCTGAAAAATAAATAATGTGCATCAGGAACCTGTAATGTCTAATATATGTACCAAGTTTGAACGAAATCCATCCATAAATGCCAGAAATGCTTGACATTTGATGATTTTGTAGCTCAAAAATGGCCACCATTTGGCCATTTTGAATAGGATCGTCAAACCAATATATCTGTCTATCTATGACATGATGTATAATGAATATTTAAAATTTGAATATAATCAGTGAAAGCAAGTCAGAGATATGGCACGAGAGCCACATTCATTAAAACAAAATGGCCGCCAGTCGGCCATTTTGAATCTTATCTGAAAAACAAAATTATTTGCATCAAGGTCCCATAACGTCTAATGTATATACCAAGTTTGAACAAAATCCATCTGTAAACAGCCGAGAAATTCTTGATTTTTAGGATTTTTTAGCACAAAAATGGCCGCCATTCGGCCATCTTGAATCAGATCATAGAACAAAATGATGTGCATCAAGGTGCTATAATGTTTAATGTATATACCAAGTTTAAACAAAATCCGTCTGTAAACATCCGAGAAATGCTTGATTTTGATGATTTTTAGCACAAAAATGGCCGCCATTCGGCCATCTTGAATCAGATCGTGAAACAAATTGATGTGCATATGTATAATATAATGTGTGAAGTTTGATTGTGATTGGTCCAGGCATTTCCAAGATACAGGTCCAGACGCACACACAGATGCACGCACGGACACACGCATGCACGGACACAGAGGTCAAAACATAAGTCCCCGTTTTCGAACTGCGTTCAAACGGGGACTAAAAATTTCAATTTATAATGACAACAAGTCATTGAAAATGACACAGTCCCGGTTAAATTTTTGAAAGTTCTCTTTGTGCTCGTCATATTAAAGCGGAGGGGTTGTTGCGAGCATGTTCTTAAAACTTGAGTTCCAAGTGGCGTATACAACAGATTGCTTATTTACATCAAAACACGTATCGTAGTAATATGGCCAAAATAAAAACAGCCGTTATTTGGCCATCTTTGATCTGATTATGAAACACACTGATATGTATGATGTATGTGCCTAATACGAATGAAAATGGTACATAAATTGTGGAAATATAGTAGTAAGGCCAAAAAGTCAGATGGCTGTCAATCGGCCATCCTTGACCAGATTTTGAAACAAATTGTCATGGATATGCATTCTAACATGTATAAAGTACATGTATGTGCCAAATTTGAATGAAAACAGAGCACGTCCAAGATACCGCATAAAAAAAAAAAAAATGCCTGCCAGTCGACCATCTTTGATCCAATCGCGGTTGGGACATGTATCCTAACATGTATAATCTATGTACCAAGTTTGAATGACAACTGACAAAGTATGTCCAAAGTACAACATTTTCAAAAAACAAGATGGCTGCCAGTCGGCCATCTTTGATCCAATCGCGGTCGGGACATGTATCCTAACATGTATAATCCATGTACCAAGTTTGGATGACAACTGACAAAGCATGTCCAAAGTACAACATTTTCAAAAAACAGGATGGCTGCCAGTTGGCCATTTTGAATCAAATCGCTAAACCACTGCATGTGCATATGTCCCACATAAAGTACTAGACACATGCAAAGAATGAACGGAATCGGTCCAAGGGATTCTGAGATATGACTCCGGACTGACGCACGGACGCACGGAGACTGAATTATAAGTCCCTGTTTTCGGACTTTGTCCGAACGGGGACTAATAACAGACAAAACCTCAATTAAGCACTTTGCACAATTTATCTTCATGGCATTCCAACATCGCACAAAAAACCATATGAATTGAACTTATTATATTTTATTTACTTTTTAGCTCCGCTGTCGACTTTGTCGAGCGGAGCTTATCATATGAGTGATTGTCTGACGTCGTCCGTCGTCGTCGTCCGTGTCAATGTTTAACTTTTTTGACTTCTTCTTGAAAACTATAAGCCTGAATGCTTTGATAGGGTAGATCTCTCTCAGATTTGTTCATTTCATAATGATATCTTCAAATCTCTAATTTTGGTGAATATTTTTGTCATTTTTGGTAAAAAGTGATATTTTCGACTTCTTGTTAAAAACCGCAAGTCCAATTGCTTTGATATTAAATATATAGGTACTATATGTGGACCTCTCTCACATTTGTTCATTTTGTAATGATATCTTCAATTCTCTAATTTTGGTGAATATTTTTGTCATTTTTGGTAAAAAATGATATTTTTGACTTCTTGTTAAAAACCGCAAGTCCAATTGCTTTGATATTAAATATATAGGTACTATATGTGGACCTCTCTCACATTTGTTCATTTTGTAATGATATCTTCAATTCTCTAATTTTGGTGAATATTTTT